TTCCCATTTGTCTATATCCCGCTCCCCCCTCCTTAATCAGGCGCTCAATGTGCCACGATTGGCTGTGGACTTGACTGGCAGGTCAGGAAAGGTCAAGGTGCAGACCCGTGTGAGGTAAGCATTCTTTTCCCTCCCTGTCTGGAAGATTTCCCTTCAGTCTGCTCCCCAGACATGGGAGGCCAAGAGCTCAGCCTTCCAGAGCATCCTTTCTGTGTTTATTTGAGCGTTAAATTTAAGCAAAAGCAACACAAAATCCGCTCGCAGAAACCCCGATCTAAACCGGTGCTCTAAACACATCCCTTTCAATTTCTTTTCTGTCACCCTTCTTCCCAGCCCAGACTGCTTTTCGTTTTGTTTGGTTGTGATTTGGGATTTTATTTTTTGGCTTGTATTTCTCCCCACTCCCAGCTCCCCCAGCCCTTATACAAGAACTCTTTTTCGCAAATGACGACATCCCAGAAGCCCTTTGACCCGTTCACCTAATGACGTCACTGGACAAGTGTAATTTCAGCCAAAGTGCTGGCCAGTGGTCAAGACCAAGACAGTGAAAGACGAAGGCAATCGATTGGCCCCCTGGCTACATACGCGGGAGCAGGGACAGAGGGTGCAACGCCAGCACACAGATAGCACACTGTCTGTTCACCAGGTTTGGGTGGTGAACTTTTACTGCTGAAAACAGTTTGTTCGTCATAATGGACTAAATGCAAAGGTACTCGGTGCAAAAATAACAAACAACCAACCAAACAACCAACCAACCAACTAAAAAACACCAGAAAACAAATGTATCCACAGCCATAAGTATCTAAGGGACGCGGCAAAAACGTTACGGTTTTCATCGTTGATAGAAAGATGACAATAGACGACGCTCACTTCCTTGTGGTTTGCCTTGACAACGTTGATTATAAAGTGGAGGGGTCGCTCTGTTTGATATTGCGAAAAAAACAACGACAACAACACAACCCCAAATAAATTCATAAGGAAAAAAAAAAAATAAAAAAAAAACGTGAGGGTGGGAATCTTTACTGGAATTGGAAATTATTGGCTAAAAAGCAAAGTAGAATATTCACCGAAATTACAGGTAGTTATTCATTGCACTGACCATTGCTTAACCGAGGGAAATGTTGATATTCATTTGAAGGAATAAGGGAGGGTAACGAATTATCTTGCCCACATTACATTATACGAACTGCTATTGTATCTGTACAATGGATACGAGACATGTTGAACGTTTGCAAGCAAACTCCTGTAGCTTTGGTTGTGTTGTGAGCAGGGTTTAAAATATCAAAATGATAATTATTGCACTCACGGGTAGTGACCTCCGTTTTTGTTTTTATGTTTGTTTGTTGTTGTTGTAGTTTTAGTTTGTTTGCTTTTTTGTTTTGTAAGTGTTTAACGGCGCTCGCAGCTGAATAAGTTCACATGAGCACACGGGATTCATTAAGCATTTTCAATGAGGTACATATTAATTTTGAATTTTGCCCGGGGCGACCAAAGTTAACTTTGAACGATTTACAACCATCAAGAAATCTTTAACTTGAGCAACTTGCACACGTGACCTGCTATATTTTTTTCGCTTTTATCCACGAAAGTTAAGTGTTAGATTTTACCTACCCTAAGATCAGGGGTGTGGCTGAAAGACAGCAGTAAGAAGGAGCCAATGAGTAGCAGTAGAGAGGCTGCAGAAAGACTCAGGAGCCGAAAAGAGGGGGTAGGGGGAGGGGAGAGTTTGGGGGGGGGGGCAGAAAGTGGAGACGAAAGCAAACAACAGAACATGGTTAGAGAGTAGCAGGAGAGGAGGTGAAAGGAAAAACTTTCAGAGAAGAAACATTGCCGTCACTGCCAGGTTTCGAACCCGAGATCGATTGAATGAGAGGTGAACACTGTACCTCTAGACCACGAAAGCCCCCCTCTCTGTGTTTGCAAACAAACACCGCCCAACGTAACTGGTACCCCAAATAGCTCATAACACCTCCCGTGACACGTTCATGGTAATGCTATTAGTTTCGACAGTGACTAACACTTCCCATGAAGATCAAGGTTCGAATCCTATTGTCGTATGAGCTGTTTTTTGTCTTTGAAATAGTACTTTATCTCAGACTAATATTTCATTTTGGGAGAAAAAAAGAGGGGTACTTCCTAGTCTGCGTCTGACCGACCGGTCGTTGAACCCAAAACAAACTGTCCCACAAAAGTACTCTCAGTCCTTTTCCTAATTCTTTTCCCCATACTCATGCCCTCGTAGTGTCGTGCATGGGGATATAAAATCCCTATTTCAGGGAAATCTCACGAAAATTAGTCTCATATCAAGCCTGATACCACCTCGGCGAGCACCAGTGGATGAACCCGATTTGGCGTGTCTGAAGAGGGTCGCAGAATTAGGCAAGAGTACAAACGATACGACGAGTGATGAAAAACGCTAACACGCGCCATGGTGGACAGTATGATATTAAGAGAAATATTATTATTTCTTGTTTTGCGTCGCTGGTCAGGTGGTTTTAGGCTCTTGAACTGTTAACCGCAAGGTCGTGGGATCGAATCGTGTCAGGGGCCCCACACTGTGTCCTTGGGAAAGGTACTTTACATAAATTTTTCTGACTTCACTCAGAGGTAAAATGGGTATTCAACAGTTGTTAGTTGATCTTGTTAGCTTGTTAGTGTTTTAAAGCTTAATTAAGTGCTTGCACTGTTGGTTTCCTTGGAAGCCGAAAATGTTTCTGGGTGTTCTAGGGTCTGCTCTAGTAATAATTAATGTAGAATGCATAGAGCATGCAGTAGCGCATGGAATTTGGTTTTAAGCAATGTTTTAAAGACATGACAGCAGAAAAAGTGTTCAAACCAGTACCTTAAAACGAGGATGACTGTGACTCTAAATAACTTACACCCTCATTAGATTATTTAGAAGAGAAGTCGGATAATGATAGTCAGTAATAATAAATGCACAGAACCGCTCTGTGCGCTTTACAATTACATATATTACTTCTATTACCGCAGCAGGCTCTACAAGACTCAGCGACACTCTCGGTTTCCCAGAAAACATTAAGCGCTCTAAGCAATAACAAACTAATTGTAGCAGCAGCAGCAGCCTCATCAACAGTTATGACGATGACGACGACGAGAGCAACAATATCAACAACAATAACAGCAGCCGCAGCAGCCGCAGCAGCGACAGCAGCGACAGCAGCGACAGCAGCGACAGCAACGACAGCAGCGACAGCAGCACAACAATCATCAGTTGCAGTAGCAATATTAATGTTCCATTCCCCCTGTCCAATGTACCACGGCTGTGGAGAAGAACCTGTCAAATCCGTGATTCAGATGACGCCAACGGGGATGAAGATTTGTCGGTTTCAATTTCCAGGTCCCAGCAATGAAATATTTTTGACATAAGTGGTCGAGTCTTTGGGGAGATATTAACAACAGGTTTTCATTGTTGAAATCAGAATATCGTATTCCTTATGGGATCGGAGGAACCGGCGATCATTGAAGAGCAATATTTTGTTTTAAATAGCTGGATGGTATAAAGCAGTCCCCTACTTTCCTGATTGCTTTTATGCTTGATTTGAGACCAAGGGAATACCAGAAGACTTAATGCTTGTTATGCAATACTCTATAGGCATTCCCCCCCTCCGTCTCTGTCTCTGTTTCTGTCTCTCTGTATCTCACCTCTCTCTCTCTCTCTCTCTCTCTCTCTCTCTCTCTCTCTCTCTCTCTCTCTCTCTCTCTCTCTTTG